ATTATAACTGAAATTTTATATAAAAATATTTTAAAGTTAAAAGAGGAAAAACATATTACTAGTCACCCTGAATGGTGAATATATATATATATATATATATATATATATATATATATATATATATATATATATATAGTTCTAAGGTTGGAAGCTGAATCAATTATCAGCAAATATCAAAGATGTACATCGTCAACACTCCTATCCTGTTCTGTTGGAAATACTGCTTAACAGCTCAGAAACAACCCCAATACCATAATCAAAACAAGTGACAAATTGAATATTTTTATCATTTAAATAAAAAAATTATTACAACTCAAAACAATTCTCACTGACCACAAAAAAAAAAAAAAAAAAAAAGACATTGCCAACTTGTTAAAAAGTCAACTTTCCAATGCTAATAATACAGAGATTAGATTTGTATTGATCTTGTGACAATGAGTAATAATAAGAATTAAAAAAAAACAAATTTTCATGATTCCATAAAAAAAAAAAAAAGGAAGCCACTCTACTGGCAGGAAATTTAGAGACTTTTCACTTTTTCGTCGGCCTCTCACAAAACACGTTGATTTGAATTGCTTCAGGAATAAAGACCACAGATAAGTTTTAAATAAATATCACTTTCTCATGTTTAATATTAACTTTTAATGAGAGACTTATCACTTGCAAATAAGTTATTTATTCAACACAACAAACAGAAAAACCAGAAACATTTACTAACAACCACATTACAAGAACTTTCATACAACCACCGAACTTGTACAACCAAATCTTTCTGATAATAAATCCTTCTATATATTTATAAATGTCTCACTTTGTGGATTTCAATCTTGAATAGGGAATGACTGCAAGACATCCCCCCCCCCGCTTTTATAGGCAGAAGTCCACAAATGCATGCTGGGATATTTTTCTTAGATAATAAAATAGTCCGGTTTGTAGTTTGACATGACTCAGTCCAGATCTGCCTTGTCTAGAAGACAGACCACTGCATTTGCTTGTCTGACCTTGCTTTTGTGTGTCAATGCCAATTCTTTCTTTGTGAACTTTTTGCCTTCTTACTGTTAATTTGCCTTGCATACATTTTTTGTTTGCTTGTTTGATATTATTTCATTTTTGCCCCTTTTTTCTTATTATTTTTCTTGTAAACTTTGTTAATTCTGTTTGTTTGACAGTTCTGTTCTTTATTTTGCAATTGACCATGGCTACTAATTCAACATTGTTCTTATGATGTATATACATCATATTTTACTAACCAGAAACAGAAGTCAAACAAGGCTCAACATAACCCCTTTCCCACCCCAAAAAATAGAGAGAGAGAGAGAGAGAGAGAATTATCAATATTAAAATTTATAACTCTGCTTCCCCTGATAGAAAATTCTAAGTATTCACTCCTGTTCATCAATTGTCAAAATCAATGAATCAATCAAATAGCACTTCTATTTTTACCCAACAAATATATCAAGTTTCACTGATAAATTAATTCAAATTTTGCATTCTTCCAAATTAAATAATCAAATTCTGGCTTGACTTGATATTAATCAAGTATATTTTTAATGTTCCTGTTATTGATATTCTATTGATATTTGATAAGTATCCCTGTTTACCTTCCTCTTAAAAATCAAACCTAAAATTCTATGAAAACTTCTGCATGCATGTCCCACAAAACTCATCTTTTATGACAATCTCAGTTATATATATATATATATATATATATATATATATATATATTAGTTCTAAGGTATGCTATATTTATGGGTTAAAGTGCTCAATATCAGGGAGAGAGCATATGTAAGTGGACATTGAAGTCAACAACCAGAGGCAACAGTGTTTCATGCTAAATGCAATCGTCAAGCTATGTTCGATGTGTTTATGCACGACTTTTTATATATAGAGGTCGATGATGCATTGTGGATAGTCTATTGTATTATTCAAATAGTTATTTTGGTGGACGCGGTTTGTTAATTTGTTCATTATTTGTTTAGATTAATTTATTTTACTTGTTCTTTATTTTATTTATTTTCATTTAATCTTGTTCATTTTCAATTTTGAAGTAGTATAGTAAAAATTTGTTTTTGTGTCTGCATTTTGAGATTAGTTCTGATCATTTATTTAATAGTTTGTTTTGGTCTGGGAAGGTAATTATGGCTATTTGATCCTCCAAACAGAGTTTACAGATTTTGGATTGATTGTTTTAAGCTGATGCTCTTTTCCTTGTTTTCCATGATATTTTTGGCATGATTTATTTTTTGTTTTTAATGTCTCAGATATGTTTAGAAAGCATTGTGCTGTTTGCATCTTTACTTTTTGTAAAGGATGTTGTTCATTATCTGCTGATTTTACAGTGGTTTGGTATATTACATTATTCTGCAAGCAAGTGCCATTTAAGGAACACACACACACACACACACACACATATATATTGTGTGTATTTAGGCAGCATATTTTCATTTATACACGTTTCATTAAATAATATAGACAAGTGTTGTCTATTTATTTTATGTAAAATTTTTTCGTATCTTCTGATAAGTTTGATAACATTATCATTAACCGAAAAAAAGAAATTCACAATATTTATCCATTATTTTTTAATATAATCTAAGCTTTCGGGTTTACTCAAGCCATTATCAAAGATGTAATTACAAACATATCAAACAATATACGGACACGACAGTGATGATAGTCTGTCATTGTTTAGTTTACATAGTGGATCACTAAGCAACGATGAACACGCTGCATATAAGACGCTAGAAGCGAAAATCGACCAAGATCTCATGACGTCACATGACTACACGAGTGAATTGGAGAATGAAATAAGGAAAGCCGTTGGTATAAACCAATGGCTTCTGTTACCAATTATAGAAATTATAGACATTTAAGAATATTTGTAGAGATTCCATAGTTGATTTTGTTTAGGTTGGGTTTTAACTGTTTGATGTATAATGCTTCAAGTATTTTTAGTTTTTGTCTATTGTTTTCATGTCGAAGTATAGTTGTGTTTTCGACAAGTATTTTACGGAATTGTGTGTGCGGGCAGGCATGTTGTTTTAAATGCCTAAAAATGTTAGAGTTTTCATTAAAATGTAGTGTCAAGCGTCGTGAAAGCGAGTTTGTGGTGTGTCCAACATAAATATTATTTAATTCGTTGGAGATACACTCTCCCAAAGGGCACTTGAATTTATAAACTATGTTGGTTTTTTTTGCAAATCGCTAACCGGGGAGAAGAATCATTAGTATTAAGTTGGATATACTAGATTTAGTGTAGTATATGATTAATTCAATTTTTTTGCTAGGATCTGTAGTTGATATATTAGAATTTACTAAATTTTTTAGTATATTTTGTTTATAATTAGTATGCATTTGATTACGATATAGGAGATTAATATATTTGAGATCAGTAGAAGCAGTATTATGTACAATTTGCTTATTATTAAGCTTAGATTATATTAAAAAAATAATGGATAAATATTGTGAATTTCTTTTTTCGGTTAATGATAATGTTATCAAACTTATCAGAAGATACGAAAAAATTTTACATAAAATAAATAGACAACACTTGTCTATATTATTTAATGAAACGTGTATAAATATATATATATATATATATATATATATATATATATATATATATATATATATATACACACACCAATTGTAACAGCAAAATTGTCCAAATTGTGTAGCAGCATAATTATTTATCCCACAAAAAAAAAAAATCATAATTTTGACTTAGAGCTAAAGAGATCAATTAGAAAAGATCCAACTCCATCCATAAAATGTTTGGCACATGACAGGATTTTTAGCTATGACAATCCAAAGAGCAGTGAAAACAGACTTGAAAATGAAATTATATGTGAAATGTGTGAGGCACCTTGTTACTTCAGGACAAAAAGTTAGGTTAGAGAGGGCAAAGATCATCTTGAATAGGTTGTAAAATGATCCTGGAATTTATATAAATATATGAACTTGCTTCCAATCCTTAGCTATGATTAATTAATGATGAACAGGTCATTTTTATTTATGATTGATTTCATCAGGATTCTTCTGTTAAGCTTAGATAGTAATTATCCATTCTTATTTCTCAAAGTAGAGTCAAATAGTATCATAAAAACCTCAGAGTATTCCAGTAAAATATCTTTAATCATTTCTAAGATACAAAGCTTAATCTAACAATTGGTCAATTTTGCTGTTACACGATTTGGACAATTTTGCCATTACAGCTGCTGTATATTTACACAGACAAACTGATGGTGCAGCTATGGGATCTCCCCAGGACCTACTTTTTCAAAATAAATTTTGAACATTGATTATGGATTTCTTCTTGCAAAAGATCTTGATCATATAAAGAAACTAAAGCAAACCTTTCAAAGTAATTTTGTACTTAATTTTATATATGAACTCCCATTTCTTGATGTCTTCATTGAGAAAAGAAAAACTAGTATTGTAATGGCTTCTTTTAAGAAAATATAGGAAATGGCCAATCCAGAGGTCACTTTCAAAGCATCGTTGTAACCAGCATGTAACGAGTCCTTTGATTAGTCAATAGAAAAGCAAAATGACAACTCTGTCTCATTTCCACTTTGGTGAACAATTTAGAAACTCTTTTTGACAAGTGACCCTGGAGCAGTAAAAATGTACCAAGCTCTTTTCTGACCAACAAATATGTGGAAAGTCTACAGACATGTATGTACCATTTGAATAAATATCTCTAATTATCAAAGATATATATATATATATATTTCATGTTATTTTAATTTCATGTTTCTTTTGTTGTGGCCCATTATTAGAAGTGGGCCCATTTTGTGTATAATTGTAACAGTGTCCACCACAGTATTAACTCCTGTCTTCTTCATTATCAAAGTGACTATCCTTACAGATACAAGATAGCAGTCTTAAAAACAAAAAAAAAAAAAAAAACGACTTTATCTTCTATATTCATTCAGGATATGGGCAATTATGGCTTTCCACAGCTTCCTATTCTTTGTAACTCTTAGTAAAATTTGGCTTATGACCATATTACATTGAAACACCAGTTTCCATATGAACACCAAAGTTAAGCAACACTGAGCCTGGTCAGTATCAAGATGGGTGACCACTTGGGAATACCATGAACTGTAAACTTGAGTGTGCAGTCGATGTAATGGATAATGGCTCAGAATTATTAACAGGAGAGCCAAGCCAAGTTCCAATTCCAGTTAGGTTCATTATATTCACTTACCTGCAAATACCTTTGGGAAAGGTATGAATCCACCTCTTTCCCCAGCTATGAGTTAATTAGTAAGACTTGTATTACTAAAACCATTATTATCTCAAAAAATAAATTATTTAACAGCATATCAACTTCTTATAGGTCATTTAATACAGAAATTTAATTTTCTCGAGAGCTTTCAAATAATAAAAATATACATTATTCTACTTTCACAGTTGAGTACATGGTAGATGATACTCAGCTTTTGTGCATCTACATGTTTGTGTGGATATAATTACTAGGGGCGGTGATATGTGTTTTATGTCATAGTTTTGTTGAAATTATATTTTGGAATACAGTTTGATTTCTTTGGATGATTTTGTTTAGTGACATATCAACCTCCATGGGTCATTTGATGCCAAAATCTAAATAATTTGAACAATTTTATGGCTTCAATTAAATATATTTTGAATGCAATTGTATGCTTTCAACTACACATAAAATGTATTGCTGATTTGTTGTTTTAAAAGTGTATTTTGCTAATTTTACTATAAATATACATTGTTGCTAATTTTTTTTTTTTTTTACATAAAAATGTATTGCTGGTATTTTTACTATAATAATGTATTTTTATACTTTCATAGTGTTTGGAAATCCTACCAAGATTCATCATTTGCAGCCACAATCATAACAACATAAGATATACAGATGACACAGAGCTGATAGCAGACATGGAAAGGAAACTACAAAACCTCCTACAAAAGATAACAAAGTGAGAAGAGGCTAAGCATAAACTACAAGGAAACAGAATGCATGGTCGTCAGCAAAAAGATGAGTCTGAAGTGTAATTTACAGGTCGGGGACACTAAAATCAAGTAGGTACAGAAATTTAAATATCTGGGAGGTGTTCTGACAGAGGACAGTAAGTGCTACACTGAGATCTGAAGACATATTGAGATAGCCAAAGATGTATTCCAAAAGCTAGGCAGAGTATTACAGGTGGATTTCATTGGTAACAAAGAAAAGTATTCTGAACTGCTACATAGTATCTGTTCTTTATGGCAGTAAATGTTGGACGGTCTCCTCAAAGATGAAGAAGAGACTTGAAGCAACAGAGAGATGGTTCTACAGAAGGATCCTAAGGATACCATGGACCGAACATATGAGCAATGAGGTTTTGGAGAGGATGCAAACAAAGAGGAAACTTATACTTAACATAAGAAAGAGGCAGCTGAAATTTCTGGGACACATAATGAGAAAGGAAGGCTTGGAAAATCTGATACTCACAGGGTGAATAGAGGGAAAGAAGGACCAGGGAAAGCAATGCATGACATACCTTAAGCAAATGAATGACATAACAGGGAGAAATAGTAAAAGGATAAAATATATTAAGAACTACAAGAGATAGGAGGAGGTGGAGAGCCATGATTGTCTATATCCTGAAGGGACACAGCACATAAAAGAAAAAAAAGGTGTTTTGTTTCAGGTTTCACTATTTGCCCATAGCCAGGACCCTAACAGGTGCTACCACCCAGGGTCAAGGTGGATCTGGGAATAACAGCAATTAAGAGGTGGTTCCATGTTCCTCAAAACCTCCAATCTCCGAATACAGTTTGTCATACCCAGGATTAAATAATTAAAATTGTGTACAAAATATTTATATTTCAGCATTAAGTAACCCCCAGAGGTGTTGATATGTTGCTAAACAAAAGCAAGCAACCAATTTTAGTAAGGTTTGTCTTTTTAGCATCCCTCCCATCCCATATTCTGCTGTTCATTTACCCAAGTTCATGAGGCTACTCACTGTTTCCCTCTGGCATGCTAAATTAATCTCTTCCACTAAAGCAATTTTCTATAAAGAATTATCTAATATTAAACAAACATTTAGTAATAATGGCTTTTCTTATCACATTATTGATGATCAAATCAAATTATTTTTGGACAACCAATATAGAAAAATATGTAATAATCCCAATTTAAATCATAGCAAAAATATTATCAACTTATTTTACTGTGACCAGATGTGCTCCAATTATATAAAAGATAAAAAAAATCAATGGAAAATATAATTCATCTATATAACCTGTAAACATAGATATACAACTTCCACAGACAGTAATAACTGCTGATGATTCATCATATAAAACAAAAAATTTTAACTATTTACATTCAGACTCTTGTCCTCATCTTTGTTGCTTTTATGCCTTCCGACAATTATATAACTTGGGATTTTTTAAAATTATTTACTTTGTAGGGAAGTGTACTTAGTAATGACAAGATTTAAAGTTTAAATTTATCTTTCTGTCTGAATTTCTGGGATGAGCAGTTATTATTTACGCTATTTACATGCGGACTATTGTCCCCCATCTTTGTTTTTGTTATCACAACGTTTCGACTGTTATACCCTCCAGCCTTCATCTGGTGTATATTGATCTGGAATATAGGGAATTTTGAACTGAACCCTTTATTTAATCTATGGGAATAGACTGTTCTCGTGCTACTGTCCATGTCCATACTGAGATTTTGTCTAGTTCATATTTTAGCGGTACTAAAAACTATGGTGTGAATTTGAACTCAGTGGAAACAGGGCAAGCAATAACTGAGCAGTATTAAAAATAAGAAATAAACAAGATATCCCTAAACATGGGCAGCATAATGAGGACTGTCTGCTCCTGTAGATTAAATGATGGGTTTAGTTCGGAATTCCCTGAAGGTTACCTGGATTGATATGCCCCTGATGAAGGCCAGATGGTACAATGACTGAAATGTTGTGAGGATAAAGATGAGGACAATAGTCTGAATATAAATAGTGTAAATAATGATAGCTCTCATCCAAAAATTCAAATGGAAAAAAATTTAAAACTTTAAATCTTGTCATTACTAACTACATGTCTTCACAAAAATATATATATATATATATATATATATATATATATAAACTGCTTTTAAAAAGACCAAAGTTATATACCCAATCTCTTGTCCTTTAGGAGATTATCGCTGTTGATAAAAAAAAAAAAAATCAATATATATTGGTTATACAACGACAATTCTCTTGGGAAGATTGACTCGTCATCTCTCTAAGTGCAATATATAAACAGATCACAAATCCATGGCAGCCCCTTTTAATTTCTGGTAGATTTAGGTTGACAATACAATAGTTCTGTGCCACTCCTACAGTAAAAAATGATGACTAACTGTACAGGCTTTTTACATTAAATAAAGCAACCTTTGCTACCACATATGGTCTGGTGCTCCTGCTATATATTTAGAGATTCTTGATAAAATCCAAAGAAGAATCTGTCATGTTATTGGTCCTGACCTGGCTTCTCGGCTCCAGTAACTTTCTCACTGCTATAATGTAGCTTCTCTGTGAATTATCTATAAATATTTTCATGGTAATTTTTCAGATGAGCTCTTCACTATGGTACCTAGAATTTATAAATTTAAACTCAATACTAGATCAGCAACTAGGTCTCATTGTTTTACAGTTGAATTGGCTGGATGTAACCATAAGTTCTATGTTAACAGTTTCTTTTCTCACACTTCTATCTTGTGGAACTCTCTTCTGGATCCATGCTTTCCAGTTAACTTGTATTTTAAAAAAATTAAATACAATGTCAATCATTATCTACCATATTCCTGATTTCTCTTCTATAGCTCTAATTCTTTAGTAATCTTTCTGTTCTTTCACATCAAATAACCCCTTGCATCTTAGTGGTTTTACTGCCTTGCTTGGGGTAAATTCAATTACCCCCCCCCAAAAAAAAACAAAAACAAAAGAAAAACCTATCAATAAAACTGGTTTCAATATAGACACTCATGTGCCTTTAAAGTTTTTACCACCATTTTTGCCATGTGATGCTAAATTCTTTTTCATTGTGATAGTACATGAGCCCATGTTTATGTCTGGCTTAAGACTGTCAATAACATAAAAGGCTACACCAGCTGATCCTTGATTTTCTAACTTCTTTCCTTAAAAATGACTAGCGATAGTCAAAAGTATTCAAAAACAAAATACATAATTTTGGTAAGTTCCTTTATAAATAACTCATCCTTTCTGTTTAATGTAACATGTTTCAACCAAACAATTAATGTATCAACTAAATAAAGGTTTGAGGTAAATAGCAATAATGAGCTTCAGATCCAAAAATTATGTTGTAATTCCAAGGGTAAAAAAAAAAACAAAACTAAAAAAACACTCTTACAAGTCCAACATCAGAAAATAGGTGGGTTGTAAATCAAAAGGGTTAAAAATTTACATCACAACTCACAACACACAACTGCCTCTTCATCCATTAAACACTAAGCAATCATGGCATCCAAAGTAGCAATTCTTTCATTTGAGTCAAGGATGTTGTGGTTGGTCGAGAATGGCAAGATTCATTCATTCATTCATTCATCTGTCTTCTATGGCTTATCAACCCCTTTTGCAGGTTATTTAAAGCCAGAAAATTGAATTTTTTTTCAAATAATGATTTAGTGATACAAGTCTTACTAATTAACCCATAGTAGGGAGGAGAAGAGATGGATACATGCCTTTCCCAAAGGTAATTTGCATGTAAGTGAATATAACGAACACAACTAGAATCAAAATTCGGCTTTCCGATTAATAATTCCAAGTCCTTATCCCTTACATTATCTGCACATCCAATCTTACAGCACCTGGTATTCCTAAGTGGTCACCCATCTAGGTACTAGCCAGGCTTGGCATTGCTTAGCTTTGGTGATCATATGGGAATCAATGTTTCAACATGATATGGCTGTAAACCGAAAGACTGGTAGGAAAATGCAAACAATTGTCATATTTCGGAGCCTACTAAAGTCAAACTGATCTTGATTCTGATTTTCTTTTTCAACAGCAGAAAGAATACAAATTTTCTTCTAAGTTAAGATTTGGTTTTCTCCTTCATTGCCACAAGTTTCTTGAAAAAAATATATAAACAATAACAGTTCTATAATAATAATTTGATTACACAAAGAAACCAATAAAATAAAGATTGGAAAAAGAGTGAGACAATGGGATTTCATTTCAGCTAAACAGTTTGCACCAGACTTTGAAACTATATTCTGGAAAATAAACTGTGGATGAGAGTAATATAAACAAACTTTATTTCAACCATTTACAATTTGATGACAACATTTTGCTAACATCAGAATCTTTGAATGTCTTTTAAGAAATATTAAATAACCTAAAACAGAGAACATTTAATGAAGGTTTCAATAAAAAACAAAAAGAAATGCTCAACTGTAATGTAAAAAAAAAAAAGAAAAAAAAAACGAACAGTAAAATCTTAATGAAATTCACATGACAGATTTAACAATGAAGATAGACCACAGAAATAAAATGCCATGTAACTACAGGATGAAAAACATTTAATAATATAAAGACATAATGAAAAGCACTTTACAAATATGTTTAAAATATAAATTGCATAATGAATGTGTATTGACAGCTATGACATTAAGGTATGAAACACAGAAATTAAGAAAATCACTTTGTCCTTGTTTTTCAAGTGCTTTAGGCATGTAAGGTGGGCATACATTGTTGGAAGGGACCAAATAATTTGAAATAAAGAAAGGAACCTTGCTCTTTGAAAACAAATGGGAAAATGCACAATTAAAAGAGCAACTTTGGAATAAAGGATCAACATGGATCAGAGCAGAGACCCAGATAAGAGATTTCATCAAAGTGATTAAGTGACAAAAGTGGGGAGACATATAGCAAGAAGAAACAATAACAGATGGAGCAAAAGGTTGCTTGATTGGTGCCCAATATGTAGAAAACATAGGAAAGATTGGGCAAGATGGAGAGATGAAATAGAGGGATTTGTTGGTAAGATATGGTAAAAAAAATAGCACAGTCATAGTTGTCATGGAAGATTTTAGTAAAGGCCTTTGTCCTGCAGTAAACAAGCAATAAGCACATGATGTATAGCAATAAGTTTATATCTTAATGTTTATTACTTCAAATGTTATTTTAATGGAAACAAAAATGGATATTTAACATCAGACAGAGATAGTTGAAATTTCTAGGCTACATCACGAGGAAAGAGAGCTTGGAAAATTTAGCACACACAGGACATATTGAAAGAAAGAGGGACAAAGGAAAATTGCATAAGCTACCTAATGAGCTTGTATAAGTCATTGGTAGAACAGAGATTAGAAGAGATAACAAAAAGACAATTTATTAAGAACTACTAAAGACAGGAAATTGTGGAGGGCCATAATTGCCCACATTCTGAAAGGACATGGCACATAGGAGAAGAAAATAAAATAGCCGACTTATCTTATTTAAATCTGTACTCCAAGTTTCGTGGATTTTTTTCATCCAATCCTCAGTAGCAAGTTCTTAAATAGCTTTGTCAGATCGAGACTTTCATATTGATGTCATGCATGACACCAAACCCGTTCAGAAATATCTAAACTGTCAGTTGTATACAACTGCTTTCTAAGATCAATGGTGAAAAATGGCTTTTAGTAAGTGAAGGCTATGGGTTTTTGTGGACTGGTGATAAAGAATCACAAAGAACTGTACCAAATAACAGAAACGATATCACTCGAAGACTTTCAACAGCGGCAACAGCTAAAATGGGCAACACATATAACTCATTGAAAAAATAATAACATAATCAAGATGTTGACATTCTATTCTACTTTAGATAAAAGGTTAGGAAGGAAACCCCTATCAATACTGAAAAGAGCAATAACAGCTACCGGATTTGAGAAACCTGAAAACTTTGTTATGATCCAGAATGACAATGATATCTCATCATTCTAAAATCAACCTTTCCACTAGTAATAATAAAGATATCTCATCATTCTAAAATCAACCTTTCCACTAGTAATAATAAGGATATCTCATCATTCTAAAATCAACCTTTCCACTAGTAATAATAAGGATATCTCATCATTCTAAAATCAACCTTTCCACTAGTAATAATAAGGATATCTCATCATTCTAAAATCAACCTTTCCACTAGTAATAATAAGGATATCTCATCATTCTAAAATCAACCTTTCCACTAGTAATAATAAGGATATCTCATCATTCTAAAATCAACCTTTCCACTAGTAATAATAAGGATATTTCATCATCCTGGAAATAAAGATCAAATATTTTATCATTCTAAAATTGGAAACTTCATCGTTATAAACAATCCTTTCACTGCAAGCAAGGTCAGTAGAGTAGAATAGCAATAGTAAAAAGAACAGAGATATATCTTTTGTTCCATAAAAAGCCACAGTTAACAGTCTCAAATGCTATCCTTATAGAAATTCTTAGAACAAGCAGAAACAAGTAAGCACAAACTTTTAAAGAAACAAGAGATAATAACACTGAGAAAATTTTTAACACATACAATACCAATGTTGTAATTGACATCAGAAAAAGAAGAATACATATTCTTGTCATTAATGTCAACACGTCTCAAAGTCTTGTTGTTATCATTGTACGTTTTATTCACTTCATTTTGAGTAAAAAAAAGAAAAAAAGAGAGAAAAGGAATCTTCTATCAATTACAAATACATATAACAATGGGCTAATTACTTTAACAAATCTCAACATCAACCCCATTACAAGTTGTTTTAAGAGAAAGATTTAATAAATTTCAACCAGTACTGGTTGCTCGGTTAATGAGCGCCAAATTTTTCCTTATAAAGAAATGGCTAATATTACTGATGTGACATTGATACCCAGAAATTTCTGGAAGAAATTAGGAAAACCACGATTAAAGAAAATCCAAGTCCAATTGAATCAGTTTGACAGATCCATGATAAAAACATTAGGTTATTTTGAAGCCTACGTGAAAAATAAGTTTGATGGCTATTACCCATAAGATAGTTTAGTGCATACTACTTCCACAAGTAGGTAAAGCTACACAGCAGTTACCATTAACACACATATATAAACCTATCGCCATAGGTATATATCATCATGTACCTATAAATGTACCTTGTAGACATTTATCCTTTAAAATCAAAACCCATATACTTTGGTTTCTTAATATTGGCAGAGCTCAGCAGGAATAGAAGAAAATGAATGGTACATATGAATAATATAAAAGTCAAGAAGTTCAATACAAAAAGACAAAGGGAGTCAAGTTCTGCGGAGAAGTAAATGTGCCTGCATTCGTTGAAAGACGAGGATTGTAAGTTCCTTTAGATCCTGCTGCTTTTGAGTCAAGTAGACTACCAGAAGGCAAAGCCGTCAAATCAATATCATGCCTATCAATTTCGTCAGTTATCAATACATTACTCAGACTTTTAGTTTTATATATATATATATATATATATATAAACTAAGTCTGAGTAATGTATTGATAACTGATGATACATACATACATACATACATACATACATACATACATTACTTTTCAACATACTTCCTTCCTAGTCAGTCAAATAGAAAAAATAGCAGGCAGGTTCATGCATTTGAGCAGCAGACTATTATAAGAACAGACATTAAGATACTTTCAGGTCATGAATTATATATGATAAAAATATAATTCTAAGGTAGGTTATATTATGAGTAAATGTGCTCAATATCAAAGACTGACCATATGTAAATACTGTACATGTTAATATGTAGATGGAAATTGTAATAAAATGTAGATTTGTATTTAAACTATATTTGTGTCCTAACTACAGCATGAAAACAAATTGTTGTCACTTGATGTTGACAACACTGTCCACTATATGAATAAAGACAAAAGGAAAAGTTCTTTTAGCCGATTCATTTTGTCCACTGAGTGACTTTATCAAGGTAAATGTAAGAATTTTATTTTGTGACAGGTATTTATATACAAGAGAATGTTGTTAAATAAAATCCTTACATTTGCCTTGATAAAGTCACTCAGAGAATGAAGAGAACTTTTTCTTTTGTCTTTATTCATATTGCCTTTTCACAGAGTATATCTGAATCAGAATATATCAATATAAAAGTGAACATTGAAGTCAACACTCAGAGGCAGCAGACTGTTTCATGTTAGGTGCATTATATATATATATATATATATATATATATATATATATATATATATATATATATGGGACACAGTGTGTGTAAATATAAAAGTGTACATTAGTGTTTTGTGCTTGAAAGCAGTCTTCAAGCCATGAAGATTGTGTTCAAGCATGAAACAGGCTGATGATTTCAGTGTCCACTTTATATATATATATATATATATATATATATATATATATATATATATCTTATTTATTATAAACCCAGGTTGTGTGTGTGTGTGTGTCTGTATGTTTATATATTAGATCAAATTTCCTACATTTTTCAACCGATTTCAACAAAACTTCACAGGACTATGTAAAATTACCTTGTGGTTGTTCTGACAGCGCCAAAAATTGGAAAAACACAATTGTTTTTGCATTAAATCAATTTGAAAACTCGATTAAAAGGCATTAATGAAAGGGGGATAACTCATATCGAGTTATACTTATTAATATCGAGTTATTGAGTTATACTTATTATAAAACCCAGGTTGTTTGTTTTTGTGTGTGTGTGTGTGTGTGTGTGTGTATTCCTTTATATATGGGATTGGATTTCCTACATTTTCAACCGATTCCAACAAAACTTCACTTTTTTTTGGCAGGTAGTGTTTCTTATTGTCTTGCACACTTTTTTTTTATTTTTACATTCAGAATGCTTTAAAAATTCCATTTACAAGACAATTGTTTATAATAAAATTGAAAAATTCTATTCAATCGGTAGACTCATAACGATTGAAAACAATGTCTTTGCTTGAGTTTGGG